TTATTTCAAACTCCCTTGTCTAGCCTTAAAGACCTTTCACAATCTAATCTGACTTTCATTTGTATTCCTGTCTCCCATTGTTTCCCATATTCTGGGCTACTATGCTCCAAAGACTTCAAGGAGGACCATTCACGTAGACTGTAACACAACATGCACTCCTGCATGCACAACATGCATTGCAGCCATAACAATCTAGTCTCCCTTCCTGCCAAATTTTCTGCTAACCACCACTTACAAAAAGCCTATCCATTCTTCAAAATTCAGATCCAGTGCTTTCTCCATAAAACCTTCCTTGATCTTGCCCTGGCTGGATCATGGGGTTACTCCATGGATTGAGCGCTGACCTGAGAACCAAAGGGCTGCAGGTTCGATTCCCAGTCAGGGCGCATGCCTGGGTTATGGGCCAGGTCCCCAGCTGGGGTATGCAAGAGGCAACCATACATTGACATTTCTCTCCCTCTCTTTCACCCTCCCTTCCCCTCTCTCTAAAATAAATAAATAAATAAAATCTTAAAAAACAAAACAAGACGATACAGCATGTGGTAACACTCTTGAAATTCTTGCCTTAGAGCAAATCATTAGTACTCTTTAATCTCCTTTAGTATATGTTAAATTCCCAAATAGGCTGAACATTGTTTTACATATCTTTGTAAAGATATGTAAATGATGCCTTACACATGTGTCTAACAAAATTATTTCAATAATGAATAAATTCTACACAACTCTGAATCACTCCTTTGCACTAGATGGTTAAGGCATCAAAAAACTAATAAAGTCCCAGCATTAATGGGGCTCACAATCCAAAAAGGGAGATATGTAAACAGGTCCTGTAACTAATACGTAAAAGGCACAATGTAAGTGCTAGAAGGGACGGATGGCAGTGCTATAGTTGTGCAGAGTAGGCAACAATTAATTCCAATTGAGAGCACTAAAATGAAGAAGATATCTGGGCTGACTGTTAATGAATAAATAAGATTTTAACAGGAAAACCCTGAGGGGAGGAGGCATTCCTGACAGAAGAAACAGCAAAGATAAAGAGTCTTGAAGACTCTAGTAAGCAAGTGAACCAAAAAATAACAAGCCAGGAAGAGGGAGAGAGGGAAAGAGGGGGAGGGAAAGGGAAAAAGAGAGGAGAGAGGGAAGGAGAAAATATGAATATGAATGTGTTATTAGGGAGAAGGCCCAGCTGGAAGGATCTCAAAGAATTTGAACCATCAAAGGTATCTGAGCAGGAAAGTGATATGGTTAGTACTGTTTTGGTTCAGAGCTCAGGTCAGGATTAAGAGATAAAAATAGTGAAATCATGGGAGTTAAGGCTGTCCCAGAAAAAAAAAGTGCAAAGATAGAAAAAGGCTAAAAACTAAATCCTGAGAAATAATTATATTGGGGAGGAAAGGAGAAAAGAGGTGGGAGGTGAGTGAAAAACACAAGTTATCTGACAGAGAGAAGACCAAAGAGAAAATGTCATAAAAACCAAAAGGGAACCAGAGGTAGCAATCAACAATAAAAGAAGAGAGGATGAATGTCTGAGAAGGCTCTCATTTGACAATTGCGAGGCTACTAGAGCTCTTAAGACTAACAGTTTCAACATAATTTTGTGAGGGCAGGGAGACAGCCAGCTCACATTAAGTTAAGGGAAAAGGTGAAGAATTAGAAAGGAAGCAACTGGGGACTGCTTTTCTAAGAACTGTGAGAGTGAAGGGAAAAACAGCAAAATTTGAGGCCAAAGCACAGCACAGGTTAAGTTTCTATGAGGAGTTGCATGAACTTTTTTATCCCCACAGAAAAAAGGAGACTGAAACAAAATAACAGGAGACATACTGCTGAGTCCTGAGGGATGAATTGAAGGCAGAAAAAGTGGAAGAAGGAAATACAGGAGGTACCTTGGAAAGAGAACATAGGGGAAAGTAGAAAAACTTGTGGTATTTACCAAGGAAACTAAGGGCACTCCAAATAGCTGGATAAAGTAATGAGCAAAGAATTAAACAGGGTAATGATCAGCAAAATAAGATTAAACAATTGCTATTTGGAAAAGGATACTAAATTGGAAATTTAAAAAATGAGCACTGAAGGTCTTGATGATAATTGCAAAAGTAAAGGAACGGAAGAAAATGTTAAAACAAAAGTTAAAGTAGTAATATTAAAAAGTTATAAACTCCTCGAAGCAACTGATAATTGTACATCAAAATGTATAACGCAAATCTTTGTATTATCCAAAATATTTCCAAAATCCAGCAATAGTCTACTTGTTTTAAATAGAGAATACAATTGTATTATTAAAATCAAATCCCAATATTTAAAAAAGTAGGTGGTTTTTCTTGCCTTGAGTTCTGACTTCTAAGTTTCATGTCAAAATTTTGAATCTTAACTTTCATAACATGAACTATCCCCCTTTGGATCATCCACAAATTCAATAAATTTAACTTAATCAAAAAGAGGAACAGGACATTTTCCTTCAGTAAGACACCAAAGGCCTCCCTTCAGGGTTGATGATAATCAGGATTGTTTAACTAATAATGAATGAAATTCTAACTATATTCACATCTAGCCTCCATCATTCTCTTTTGGCCATAGGACATGATAACTCTGTCAAACATGCTCTGGTGAAATCTAACTGCACAATGTCTAAACCATTTTTCTAATGAACCATTCTATTAATTCTCACAAACAAACAAACAAACAAACAAACAAAGGAAATGAGACTAATCTGGCCACACCCTAGCCAGCTCCATCTCTATTCAAGGTACCACCAGCTTTGAATTTAAATGATCCTATAATTTATGTTATGGTTCTATCCTGACAGGATCATACTACATTTCTCCAAGGAAGACAAACTTCCCACTTTTTAATTAGCTATTCCTAAATGTATGAACAAGCTCCCCTCTCCAAATAAGGAAAAAAAGAGAGTTTTCTGGCCAATTTAAATATGTCAACTTTTGGTGATACAGATAAAAATCTCAAATGGCCTTCTATAGTGTCCATTACATTACATTAGTTGCACATATTTAAAATCACATGCTATATAAAATAATATTTATAAATTCATTTCCCCCCTTTCAACATTTTTATTGAAATTTTCCCAGTTTATCTTTGGCATGTCTTCACGTTGCCTAGAATGATTGAGTCATTTACCAGTTTTTTTAACATTGTTTCCTTCCTTTTATTTATAAAAGTTGTTTGAGTTACAGAATTTTTAAATCCTTGTTATTTTTTTAACCTAAATACTAACTGCTCATTTTCTATATACTCAGGCAATTTTTTCATTCTATAGGTGTGTGCTGTAGATGTAGATTCATAACCTCTACAAGGTAAGCACTTACTAATGTTGACGGAAGTACTTCAGACTTCTATCTCCTCCAGTCAATGCTTCACAAGGCTTTGTATGGGGTAAAATAAAGTGACTCACTCTTTTCCAAGAGATAATTTTTGGGGAGACAAAGACCCTGCTGTATATGCAGGTAATCAAGTCAAAAATTCACAAAGATTTAGGAACCCAATCTTTAACACATTTCAATTAATTAACAAGCTATTGCTTATGTTGCATGTGGATGCATTAACAGGAGTCTTTAGAAGTCAAACAAATTTTTTTTCTAAACTATTAGAACTTTGCTATACTCTTACAAAAGAAGAGTAGAGTATGACAAGCTACTCAATTCCCATGAATTATTTTTCGTAGAGAAACAGCAAGAGTAGTAATTCCGGTAATTTATGTGTATTGCTCAAGAATTAAGTGCCTGTCACTGTTTTAAGCATTTTACACTCATTAACTCAACCTTCACAATGCTCCTATGAAACAGGCGCCATTAATAATTTCACTTTATTGATGGGAAACCAGGCAAAGAGGTTAAGAAACCTGCCCAACCAAAGTCATACAGCTTTTAACCAGCCAAAATCAGTCTCGTTCTAGGCCCCTCCCCCCTTTAAAAGAAGATACATTATCTCTTAAGCTAGTAAAAATAGGTCTACATTTTAAGACAGTCCCATCTATCATACAGTTAATGTAAATAGTCTAGAGAAGACATGACAGAGGTTTCAGTATATGTTCATGTATTTTCTATTCAATTATTTTCTATTACCATCCACACTGCCTAAAGGCATAAATGATGGTTTGAGTTAGGAGTACTTCATCCTTTGTATTTAGGTTCCCGGAGCTAATCAGACCCCCATTTCAGTAAATACTTTTAAGGTAAAACGTTCCTACTATAAACACAAGCATAGAATAAGCAAACTAGTGCCCTGTCTTCCTCATTCTCCTCTCTACATTTTAACTGATGATAGAGAACGTGCCCCTCTGGGCCTAGATCTCCTTTGCTATCCCAAATATATAAAACTAACTTTAAACCGTTTTTCCTGGATACGGTAACTTTCCTAAGCCCTGAAACTAGGGTAGCACTTCCTCAGCACTCAACTGGTTGTGTGCTGTAATGGGTTTGTTTCCCAAGGAAAAATGGGTAAAATAGGAACTGAAGAATGGGAGAATAGTAGACAGGAAAGTACAGCGTGCAGAACAGGGAGTGGAGTGGAGTGGAAGGCACTCTGTCTGACATGGAATTCCGTGCAGAATGAGAACAGAAATTGAAGAGGCGGGGATAGTCATGAAACCAACATTAGGCAGCATTTTCTTGGATTTTCCTTTTATGCGTCTTAGATTCTCATTTCGGAAATAACTGAAACCCTCAGAGTAGCAACCGCTTAGTAAGTCAGGACACATGCACAACCTTTCCTCTCCTGCCCGAGGCCAGAACTGGTCCCTTGCAAGCATCGCTCCCCGTCGGACCGCAACCGGGCCTTTCTCACACCGGTCAATCCGCTGGAGGGACAACCAGAGCCTCTCGACCCCAAGGCCAGAGACCCGCGTTCCGGTCCTCAGCGGCAGCCTCCCTGGCTTCCCTTCCGGTAGACAACTGCCATATTTCCCTCCTGAACCTGAACCGAGTCTTTCCTGAAGAGCTGAACCCAGCGGTCACGGATTAAAAACCAAGCTGGACTGAGGGTTTTACCTTTAACAGATTGGACGTCGCCATGTTCCTTCAACTTAGAATCTCGCGAGACGACGCGAGATTTCGTGGCGCTCGAGACCAGGCCACAACTGGAGGCCGGAATTCCCACCAGGTCCGACGGGCCCACCGGCCGCACCGGGGGTGTGTTGGGAGGCGGGGCGGCGTGCCGACAGCGCTGACCTCGTCCCAAGTACCTGGAGCTTTCTCTCTTTCTCCCTACATGGTCACCGGAGCTTCTCCACACGGAAGAGCTCATGCAAACGCTCAGGGAGCTGGCTACGGCGAATGGTGAGAAGGTAACGGGAGCCGACCTGAGTTCGAAGAGGAAGCATCGATTCTACGAGCTTCCTCACTTCTTCGGATTAGCCTTTGTGGTTGCGCCCGCAGCGGCCACCGGCAACGAATTTAGCTCGGCTTAGACCCGGCAGCTCAGGTTCCACGGCTGCATCACGTGACGCGGCGGGCGGGGGCGCGCTCGGGAGCGAGCGTGGGAGCCTGGATGTCTTGGTCTGCAGGGAGGCAGCGGAGGGGCGGGAGCGCGCCCTCTGCTGGCGGGACCACACATCTTTCCTCAGCCCGCGCGACAAATCCAGGGACTCGGTTTTTAGGGCGGTCTAATGAAATGTTTGCAACAGCTATCTTGAATGAGAGCTGGTACATGAAAGCCACCCAATAAATATTTGTTGAATGAATACATGAATGAATGAATGCACAAAAGTATTGACTACTCTATTAAAGAGGGACTGGCACGAGCCCTGGGCCCTGACCGGTGTGGCTCAGTTGGTTGACTGTGTCGTTCAGAGGGAAAGGTTGCTGGTTGGATCCTGGGTCAGGGAACATGCCTGGGTTGCTGATTCTGTCCAGATCTGGGCCGTTAGAAGAGGCAACATATCGATGTTTCTCACATCGATGTTTCTTTCCCTCTCTTTCTCCTTCCCTTCCTCTCTCTCTAAAAATAATCAAATAAAATCTTAAAAAAAAAAAGTGCCTCACACTGAAATCTATAAAATCTCGATTAGGCCATGAATATTAATCATGGACTTCCTGAAGGCACATTATTCTAGAAGATCCTATACCATAAGCCGCCAAGGATTATCCCTTCAGACCACAAGCCACTGGCAAAGGAAAACGATTATAATTTATATGTAGAAACTGCAATATACCCGATATTGTATTGTGCATATTTATAAATGTTATTTATTCATAATATGTTAGAAATATATAAAAGCTATGCAGTAAAATAAACCAGGGAAGGGGGATGAAGTTTGAAATTTTCAATAGAGTGGTCCAAGTAGGCCTCACTGAGAAGATGGCATTTGAGCAAAGACCTGAAAGAGGTAAGGAAGAAGGCCAAGCCTATGTGGGAGAACAGCATCCCCGATGGGACTCAGAGGTGACAGGTTGCCAAGACTGTCCATGGAACAATGAAAGGGTTTGTGTGTTCAGAGCAGAGAAAGTACAAAGAGCATAAGATTGTATATGGCTTTCTTGACCACTGTAAAGACTGGTTTTTATTCTGAGTGAAATGGCGCATCACTGAAGGTTTTTGCACAAAGGACTGGCATGGTCAGACTCTCATTTTAACATGATTACTGTGACTGTTGCATAGTGAATACAAGCAGAAAGGTAATTTAGAAAGCTTTTGTATTATTTCATTAAATCAACACAACAATCATGTGGTCTACGTGTCTCCATTTTACAAATGACTCCATAGAGAGCATCTAGGCACTACTAAACAATGAGTAAGTGGTACAACCAGGGTTCAGAGCTACTATGCCTATAATGTCCTGGAAGAATATTAACATAGGAATGACTCTTAGAGGTCATCTTTGTTCTCCAGAGGAGAGGAATGAGATTCTAGGTGATCTGGCCAAGGTCATTCAACTGGGTCAGAGAAGACGTAGTCCAGAATAAATTTTATGTAATTACAGTTCCCTTCTCCAGTGAAACTAGGTTATCTTCAACCCTAGTCCAACTTTTCTGCTTAATTTTAAATGTAAGACTCTAGATTAAATTATAACCAGCTTTATGTACTCTAAACAAAATAGGTGGCAAGTTGTGATATAATGAATGAATGAATGTATGGCCCTACTTAAAGAATCCGATTAAGTATTTAATATTTGTTTGAGTACCTACTATAGGCATACCTTATTTTATTGCTCTTCACATTGTTCCACTTAACAAATGTTGCATTTTTTTTACAAATTGAAGGCAAGACCCTCCACCAACAAAAAGATTTCTACTTGCTTTATTGTGGTGGTTTGGAACCATGAAATCTCCAAAGTATATCTGTATGTATTAGGCACTGGAAATACAAAAAATAAATGAGACAGAGAACCCTGCCCTCTGGGACCTTATAGTCTTAAAAGGGAGGCAGATATTAAGCAGAGTTACACAAGTCAAATATTGCTTAATTGGAATTGTGATAAATACTCCAGAGGAAAACTATAATGTGCACTTGAGAACATATGGTAGGGAGGGGGACTAACATCCTAATTGCCATCTTTCTATGGTCATACTCTAAATCTTATGGTTACTTCTTTTTCTGTTTCTCCCTTCTCAGAGACAACTGCAGTTATGTTTCTTGCAAATCCCTAGGATGTTCTGTGCATATGTAAGCATTCATGTATGTATTCTTTTTCTCCCTCCCCACAGATGATGGCATACTACTTATACTCTTAACATCTTTTTTTTCATTCAGCTATATGATATAAATCACTGAAAATATGTTTGTGCTTATTTTTTCACACGTTATTATAGAAATTCAAACAATTACTGGCAAGCCCTAATGTACCCATTGCCTCCAGGATGTTCGGGATTATAAAAATAGGCTCTTGAAGTCCATTTTAAATACATACAATAGCTATAAAGTCAAAGCTGTGCCAGGGAATGCCACACATTGCCTGTTTTTTTTGGGGGGGGTGTTAGTCATCTTTCTTGGGAAAGGGTACTTCAGAGGCCTCTGCCTTCTCCATATTGCCTATAAGATAGTCACTTGTACCTTAAGTCTGCAATCAGCCCATGAAATTACTCTATTTGGATAATGCCCTCCCCCATGATCCAAAACACTTCTAAGCTTCACTTCCACCTCCAGAAAGTGGGGCCCTGGACAAGATGAGTGACTGGGGAAGCTAAGGAAGTGAAGGCCCTACCAGCAACTGTGAAATCAAACAGAACCATCCTAAGGTTTCCATGGGACCGGGCCAGGAGTGAAACTCCCACGGTCCAATTTATATATTTTACATAATTTGCAAATGTCTTCAACAACAGATATTGTGAAGTTTAAGAAGAAATGAGAAAAGAAGATAGGAAAGTATTGTCTATGATGAAGGGAGAGTGAAAAGACAGGAAATGCTTTGATTCCTGGGCAGCCCCAAATACCCAACTGAGAGCAGTACTCCTGAATTTTAGTTTAAGACCATATGGCATGGCTAAGGAAACAGACACAACAGGGTTAAGCAAGGTGCCCAAGATCTCTTGGCTCTAGAGTGGCAAGACCTGTTTGCTTCTAAAGCCACGTTAGGTGCTGGCACTGAAAAGGTATAGAATAGTATGTAACCCAGGTTGGGGTTTTATTGAGAGCAGATGTTGCAGGGAGTTGAGCATGTATGTAAGAGTATGATGATTGACTATGGGATTAAAGCTTAATCTGTAGGGTAAAGAACAATGAAAGATAATAAGATCAAAGTACTGTCTGCCTAGGTGAGAGTCTAAAGATAATGAGAATGACTCTGCGGGAGGGAGTGAGTTGGAAAGCTAGAAGGAGGTGGCTGGAGGGTGAAGTTGAGCTTAGGTTGTTACCGGTTGCAGTTATTGGTAATGACAAGAGCTAAATTAAAAATCAGAGGAGAGTAGTTGAGGTAGGGTAAAGAACAGGATCACTGGAAAACAGGTCAGGGAACTGAGAAACCAGGCATTCCAGATGTTTTTGGTATCCTATTCACATCCCCTTGACCTACTTCTGATTTTAGCAGCAGCTAAAGTGGACATTTAAGACTCTTCCTGACAGCTTCCCACCTGAAAAGGGCACCTCTTCTTTTTTCTTTCACCCCAGGTCTTCTCCAAAGGCCCAGGAACCTGCTAGGTTCACAGGCAAGTACAGCAAAGTATGGGGAAGATAATGGTTTAGGGAACAACCTTTAACCAGTTGGGTCAAAACCCATTCAATAAGTCTTCCGGCCTCTGGTCCTCTGGGAAACAATTTTGTGGGACACTCAGGATATTTCCCAGAGATCTCAGTGGACTCAAGTTCCCTTTGTTTATGGTACTGACCTTGATGCCCTACACTGCATAGGTTTTTCTTCCCTGTCTTACTCTCCTTGCTCCTTGGTTCCTGCTTCCTGGGTTATCTCTGAAATCAACCAAATTATATCCTAAGTCCTTGTTTTAGGGTCTACTTTCAGGAGAAAACTTACTGAAACACCAAGGTAGTAATAATTTTTATGTGAATATTGAAATCAGTAAGAATTATGACAGGAGCTGTGTTGGAGAGAATGACAAGCCAAGACCTGCATTAAGGAATGAGGCAGTGTGACTCAGGGGGCAGGTCAGTAGGTGACAGTAAGGAGGTGGGTTAAGGAATGCATAGTCCACCGGCACTGGACTCAAAGCTGAGTGCTTTTATTTTATTTATAGGGAAGTTCCACTTAGAATAAGTAAATGAACCATTAGAGAAGAGTTTGAGGATGTAAAGGATTTTACTGCCTGTCCAGAGGCTTGGAGGTTGTGGAAAAGAGAGATGGACTCAGAAAGGGTTAAGTGCCAAGGTGTACTTAGATGAGGGGTAACCTAGGCGTTGGGGCTTGTGGAAACGGAAATAAAACTAAAAGCATAATGAAATCGGTCTTAATGGTGGAAGGGCAGGTAGTGGGGGTGTGATAGGGAGGGATATCTTGCCGGAAACACACAGATATCTCGGGTCCTCTCATCTCTGCTGCAGTTGACAGTGTAGGAGCTGGGGGGAGGCTCTCTTACTTCACTCAGATTCACAGGATTTGGGGGAATTTTCTTGACCCTCACTGGAGGAATCAGAGAACCCAGGGAGAGACATAGGCTTATCTGATGTACTGAGAATTCTGGGGAATAAATTTTAATAACGAGTTTGGGGCTAGTCTTAAAGCAACTAGTGAATGGACACCTATTAACTTATTCACTATTCTTAATAATTTTTAATAATGACTGAGGCTTATGCTCGGTTATATTTTCCAGACAAGGATGAATGAAATAACCTGGGACTTATGATATTATGTATCTATAGTGGAAAATAACCCCCAAATGCTGAAAAAATAGGAAAGTTGTCTAAAAATTAAAAATATTGCAAAACAACTCTGCGAGGCCCCAGAATTATTAATTCTTGAAATAAAAAAAAAAACACAGTTATTAGGTGTATGACTTCTGGAACAGATAGACATTTTAACCAACTTGGGTTGACCAACTTGCATTCTATGAACTTGCTTGGGGCCAAATACCTTCCACCATATC